GAAGAAAAACAAAAGGCTGAAGCCTTGAAGAGGAAAGCTGCAGAGAATGCTCCGTTGACTATATTGCGTACAAATGAGCAGGAAAAGGAGATTGACGAAGTCATTTTGAACAAAAGGGCAAGGCTGAACCCCTTTTCAACCGCGAAATCCAAGGGTGCTTCCAACCCAAAAAGCAAAGGGAAGAAAACTAAGGAGATTAATCTTGAGGATGAGGTCAGCGCTTACGTCCTTGCCGAGGCTGGGGCACCTTGGACTCCTTCCTTCTCGAGGGCTGACAAGTCCATCTTCCATGTTGGTGATTCTATGATCACTGACCCATCTGCAGCACTGGCCGTTGCTCGGGGAATGTGGCTCCCCAAGGATAAAGAAATTATCGGCAGAATGGGGTTGGAACAGCTATTCCCATCTGCCCCTGTTCGAGCCATAGAGGTTTGCTCATTCCTTCATTTCTATTGTCATAATTGCCTTACAAAATTTCTTACATTGTTATTATCTCATGATGCAGGGCTTGTTTCATACTATGGCGCTCTGTGCTACTGCTGAGGCTCAGTCTCTTTCCCTTAAGAAGCTGGAGAAAGACCTTAGTAATTCTGAGAAGAAGGCGTCCCATGCCATTGCCAATGCACAAATTGCATACGAGGCTCGGGATGTTTACAAGAAGCGTCTGGCTGCTTCTGATGCCAAAGTTGAGTCGCTGGAGGCTGAAGTCCAACGCTTAAATGACGCCCTTAGCACCTGTATCGTTGCCGGGAGGCAAATCCAAGGTCGTTACTCCAGTCTGGTGCCCTTGTCAAGTGCAAAAGCTTACCCGTCCGGCTTCAATCAAGGCTCAGGCCCCAAATCGATGGATCCTGATGCCTTTGATGTGAACATAAGGGTGTCCTTCCCTTATACAAAGGGTCCGAAGGCTCAGAAGGCTGAGGTGTTTTTTGCTGAAATGGTGAAGGCTCACCCGAAAGATCCTCCGAGCTCATTAACTCCTGCAACTCCTGGTCCTTCAATTCCTCCATCTGCAAGTCCAGCTGTAGTAGATGCTTTTGAATCTGCCCCGTTTGATCCGAAGAGGAAGTAAGATCAAACAAACATATATATATATATATATATATATATATATATATATATATATGTATGTAATGGAACAATTTTGAGAATGAATGATATATCCTTTTCTTTTATTCTGCTTCGATTGTGTATGCTTGTATGCTTCTGATATTACACTCTGTTGAGAGATTTTTTTATTATTTTTTTTATTTTTTATATATAAGGAAGGTACTCTGCTTGAAGGTTCCTTATTTGTTTTAGTCCGAAGCAAAATAAATAAGAGGTTTTCCAAGCCGAACATTCAGTGTCCAAGGCGAGGTTTTTGCTAAGCCGGACACTTAGGGTCCGAGGTGAGATTTTTGCCGAGCCGAACATTCAGTGTCCAAGGCGAGGTTTTTGTCGAGCCGGACACTTAGGGTCCGAGGTGAGATTTTTGCCGAGCCGGACGTTTAGGGTCCGAGGCAAGATTTTTGCCGAGCCGGACACTTAGGGTCCGAGGCAAATGAATTACTCCCCGGTGCTGAGCCGCAAGGAGGTTTTACCGATCCAGACGCTTAGGGTTCGAGGCGAGATTTTTGCCGAGCCAAACACTTAGGGTCCGAGGCGAGATTTTTGCCGAGCCGGACACTTAAGGTCCGAGGCGAATGAATTACTCCCCGGTGCTGAGCCGTAAGGAGGTTTTGCCGATCCTGACGCTTAGGGTCCGAGGCGAGATTTTTGCCGAGCCGGACACTTAGGGTCCTAGGCGAGATTTTTGCCGAGCCGGACACTCAGGGTCCGAGGCGAATGAATTACTCCCCGGTGCTGAGCCGCAAGGAGGTTTTGCCGATCCGGACGCTTAGGGTCTGAGGCGAGATTTTTGCCGAGCCGGACACTTAGGGTCCGAGGCGAATGAATTACTCCCCGGTGTTGAGCCGGAAGGAAGTTTTCATACATATATTCTTCTCTTCATCATTTTTTTTTTTTTTTAAAAAAAAAAAAAAACAACTTGCCGAGGACTCAAAAATGATAGGAGGCCAAGAAAGCGAGTAACAATGGCTGCGAAGTTTCCTATTTGTTTACTTTGGAGACTTTCCTCCATTGATACTCCCTTCTTGGCGACTATATGTCATGGACTACGCATATATTAACCACATTTCCTTTCTATTTTTATCCGATGTGAGACAAAGAGCTTTAACCATAGGTCAAAATGCATGGTTTTTAATAACTTGCTTCCAACATTGCTTTGCATAAAAGCATAAAATTGCATTATCATAGGCATAAAATTTGAAATTTGAAATTTTTTTTCTTTGCATAAAAATTTCTTTTGCATAAAAATTGTTAATGCATACTGCGACGCAAAATCGAATAATCATAGAATGATGGTATGGCCCCCATTTTTATGGAAAGAAACAAATAGAAGTAAAATAAAGTAAAGCATGGCTAACTGTGGGCTTACGCAACCTTATTTGTAAAGAATTCTTAATAAAATTGACAAACTTAACTAATGGAAATACCGTTTAAGGTGTATTGCATTCCAAGGACGCGCAATGGGACGTTCGTTAGCTTCGGCCAAACGATATGCTCCCTTCCCTACTACTTCGGTAATCCTGTAGGGTCCGGTCCAATTAGGTTCCAGTTTCTTTACATGAGCTGTCTCTTGCTTCAGAACCCAATTGCCTACCGCAAAACTCTGGAATCTGACACGTTTGTTATAACTGTTGCGCAGCTGCTGCTGATATAAAGCAGGTCTAATTGCTGCAGCATCCCTTTTTCATCGAGGAGGTCGAGACTATGTTCGAGCTACTGACTATTATTTCCTTCAAGCAACAAGGATGTCCGAAGGGTTGGAATCGCCGCTTCGGTTTGAATCACTGCTTCGGAGCCATAAGCCATGGCAAAGGGACTCTCCCCCGTAGGCCGCCGTGGTGTGGTTCGGTACGCCCAAAGCACCTGAGGGAGATTCTCGTACCATTTCGTTTTAAGTTTCTCCAATTTCTTCTTTAAACAACTGAAAATGGTCCGATTAGTTATTTTAGCCTGTCCATTCCCTTGTGGATGACTAACTGCAGCTAACTTTTGTATAATTCCATGCTTAGCAAAGAATTTTCTTGTACTTCTATTGTCGAGGTTCTTACCATTTTCCATCATAATGACTTTTGGGACCCCAAACCGGCAAATGATGTTGTTCCAAAGGAAACTTTTTACCTGCTCATGGGTTACACTTGAGTAGGCCTCGGCTTCCACCCATTTAGTGAAATAATCTGTAGCTAGTAGCACGTACTCCTTTTGTTCCACAGTCTTGGGTAACGGGCCCACCATATCAATCCCCTATTGTGCGAATGGCCATGGATTTGCCATTGCGTGCAAATCTTCGGCAGGTTGATGCTTCATGGGACCGTGACATTGACATTTGTCACACCTCCGAGTATATTCTTCTGCATTCCGGACCAAGTATGGCCAGAAGTAACCTTGAGTCATGACTTTATGTGCGAGGGATCTACCCCCAGAATGGTTGCCACAATCTCCGTCATGGATTTGTTGCAACACCACAAGAGCCTCAGTAGGGCTTAAACATTTCAGGTAAGGACCTGAAAATGACTTTCGGTATAACAGATTGTTAATGATGACATATTTAGCTGCGGTGAGACGGAGCTTTCGTGCTTCGGACTTCTGGTCTGGAAGAAATCCATGCTTGAGGTAGGCTTCCAATGGATCAATCCAGCATGGCTCTCGAGGAATAACTGGAATTACCATTACTTCCTGCGGAGGATTAATGCTGGGCTCGTCCAGAACGTCAATCAGCACAATCCGAGTCAAATCTTCATTTGAGGATGACGCTGATGTGGCCAATTGATCTGCTTCGGCATTCTCAACACGAGGTACCTGATAGAATTCGATCTGATCGAATCCCCGTGCAACGTTCTCTACAGCTTCTTTATATGCTTTCATTCTTTCCTCTTTGGGATGGTACTGACCTGTCACTTGATTTATAACAAGCTGTGAGTCACTAAAAACCTTTAAGCAACGTACTTGGAGGCTGCTAGCCAATCGAAGACCAGCAAGTAATGCCTCGTACTCGGCCTCATTGTTCGTAACCGGGAACTTCAAACAGATAGATTGCTGCAGCTTGGTGCCTTCGGGTGTTGACATTACAACGCCTACCCCTACACTTGCTTGATTCGAGGAGCCATCGACTCAAAGTTCCCACTGTGGTTCAGGGTGTGCCGGCTCTTCGGGAGTATCTTCATACTCGAGAAGAAAGTCTGCTACGGCTTGTCCTTTGTGCGACACCCTTGGCTCATAAGTTATGTCGAAGGAACTAAGCTCGATAGCCCACTTGGTAATTCTCCCAGATAAATCGGGCTTAGAGAGTATACCCCGTATAAGATAGTTGGTGAGTACCACAATGCTATGAGATTTAAAATAATGCCGAAGCTTCCTCTTGGCATAGATCAAGGCTAAGATGACTTTTCTGCTTTACTATATCGCGTCTCCGCATCTGTTATGGTCTTACTTGGGTAGAAGACTGGATATTGCCTCTTTCCTTCCTTTTTAATCAATGCTGCACTTGTCACTATATTAGAAATTGCCAAATACATAATAAGAACCTCCCCGGGTTTTGGAGCGGATAGAATTGGTGGTTCGGCCATGTAACCTTTCAACCGACTAAGGGCCTCCTGCTATTGAGGTCCCCATATATCTTTATTCTTAGATCGTATAGCATCGAAGAATGGTTTGCACTTATCTGACAATCGAGATATAAATCGGCTGAGGGCTGCGATCTGACTAGTAAGAACCTGCACCTCCCTGCGATTTTTTGGTTCCTGATTCTGGATGAGGGCCTTAGCTTGAGCCGGACTTACCTCTATCCCTCTTTTATTCACTATGTGGCCGAGGAATTGACCTGATGATACCGCGAAGGAGCACTTGGATGGATTCAGTTTCATGTTGTACTTCTTCAAGGTATTGAAGACTTCCTATAGATACTTCGGATGATCTTCTTTCTTCACACTTTTAACCACCATGTCATCTATATATGCTTCAACTGTCTTTCCCAGCAGATTATCGAATATCTTCTTAACAAGGCGTTGATAAGTACCTCCAGCATTCTTCAGTCCGAAGGGCATGACCCTGTAACAATAAGTCCCCTTTTCTGTAATAAAAGCCGTTTTTTCTTCATCTTCGGGGTTCATAGGAATTTGATTGTAGCCCGAGTATGGAATGTCAGCCTCTCGTAGCCAGTGGTAGCATCAACCATCTGGTCTATCTTGGGCAAAGGGTAGCTATCTTTAGGGCAAGCTTTGTTGAGGTTGGTATAGTTTACACAAACCCTCCATTTTCTATTCTTCTTTTGTACGACTACCACGTTCGACAGCTACTGTGGATATTGCACTTCTCGAATGAAACCTACTTGCAACAATTTGCTCACTTCTTCAGCTATAATGTGATTGCGTTCAGGGGCAAACCTTCGGTGTTTCTGCTTAACCGGTTTGAACTCCAGATCCACCTTCAGACTATGGCAGGAAACTAAGGGATCGATCCCTACCATGTCCGAGTGATCCCACGCAAAGGCATCTGCATTGCTCCGGATAATATCAATTAATGCCTCCTTTTCTTCGGACGTGGAAGAAGAGCCTAGATAAGTAACCTTCTGAGGGTCACCGAGGATAACTTCCACGGCTTCGAGGGTCTCCTCGGTGGGCTTCGCAATTTCCTCTTCCTCCTTTACCTTAAGATACTTGGGCAGAGGGCTCTGTAATTGCTATTTGGGTCCAGTTTTGGAAACCACACCTGGTTGCTATTGAGTCGACACCCTCTTCGCCTCAACTTGTTTCAACATATAGCATTCCTTCGCTGCAACTTGATCGCCCCATAGATTAATTACTTCTTTCCCGTCCGGAGATAAGCACCGCATCACCTGGTGAAGGGTGGACAGAACTCCTCTCATATATCCAGCCTCTTCCCATGATGAGATTGTAAGAAGAATGGATCTCTGTTAAAACAAAGTTCTCCTTCAGAGTCCTCTTCGCCGCGATTACGGACAAGTCTATTACTCCAAGGGGATCTACTCTTGTGCCGTCGAATCCCATCAACGGGCTGGAGGTAGGTCGAATAGATGATGACGGAATCTCTAACTGATCAAAGACCGTCTTTGTGATTATGTTAGCGCTACTTCCTGGATCTACCAAAACCCTCCTGATCAAACAATTGGCCACTAAAAGACTGATGACCAATGGATCCTCGTGGGGGAGTTGCACTCTGGATAGGTCGCCATCTCCAAATCCAATACTGATACTACCCGAATTGATAACATTAACCGAGGTATCTTCCTGAGCTTGTGGGTCGCCCTCAGTCTGGATCTGTACACCTCCTTGGACTCTTGATCATCTTCAGACCTGCCATGTATTGCATGGATGACTTTTACTTGTGTACCTTCTACCTTGCGGGGATAGACCTCGCGGGGCTTTGCATACTCCTTTGTCATGAGGTAATCCGTTAACTCACCTTTGGCGATCATATTCTCCACCTGTCGCCTGAGGGATCTGCAATCGTTGGTTGAATGCCCATAATCTCGATGATAAGCGCAATGCTTACTTTTGTCCCTTTGCTCCAGGGGTTGCTTTATTGGCTGCAGAGTTGTGAACTTCGTCTTATTATCTTGGAAGAACCGAGCCAAGGTAGTTCGGAGAGGTGTAAATCCTTCCTCTACCCTTTGCCTTTTTTCAGGTGCCTGGGTGACCGGCATTGAGGAACGTTGGCTTTTTTGAATCTTTGGAGTTGGAATTCTTTCTCGAGGCTTGTTTTCCACTGTCACGAGGGTGGCGTGCTGCGCTCGGTGGGCTATATTTTTCTCAAGCCGAATGTAGATCTGGGCCCTGGCATTTAAAGTCTGCATGTCGGGAGGAAAATACTTGACTAAGGAAGTGTGGAACTTCGTCCCCTGAATCATCGCGAGTTTAAATGTCTCTATAGCAGTTGCGGGATGACAATCCGCTATTTCTAATGCCTCCATGCTGAATCTTGACAAGAAATCCTGCAATGTCTCTCCCCTTTTCTGTCTTACGGTGAAGAAGCTGGCAATGCTCTTCTTTTGCTTCTTATTTCCGCAATACTGTGCCAGGAACATGGTGCATAGAGTTACATAATCTGGGATGGACTTATGCGGTCTATTCCTGAACCACTCTAGTGCTGCTCCTATCAAGCTGGTAGGAAAAACTCTGTACATCCAAAGGTCATTACGATCATCCAAAGCCATCTTTTGAGCGTAATGATCTAGGTGCCTAGAAGGATCCCCTGTTCCATCAAACTGGGTGAAAGAAGGCATGGTGAATTTCTTGGGCCTCTTAACCAGATACACATCGTCAGTGAAAGGAGTTTTGACCAAAGAATTTTTGTGTTTTTTAGCCATCTCGGCAGGTGTCAGAATCTTCAGGAGTCTCTTCTCGTCAAAGGCATCCTAAACACCTGCACCATCTGGGATTCCATTGGACCACACCGTAAGCTTATGGCTGGATTCGACTTGCTCATTGTGATATCCCTCGTTTCTAGAGCCACGGGTGATCAAGTCCGAGCACAGATTCGAGGAATACCAAACAATCAATATGTAAACAAGCAGGAATAAAACTAAAATAAGATTTAAATAATAATAAACATAAAGAATACTAATATGATAATCCTCAAACTTTAAATAATAATTTAATATAATTTAAATCCGTACAACTCGGGAATCCATCTGGTGGACCCCTAAATACAAATCTTTAGATAAATTTACAGAATTAAAATCCAAAACCATAATAGGAAGGAAATCCTATGTAACCGGTAGAATGAGTGTCTGTATCTGCATCAACACGATCAAACTCTAAGCTGGAACTAGCGAATACATGAAAAATAGGAGTGGGTCAAGCCCACATGCAAGTTCCAATCTACTACAATCCGTACATAAACCCGATACGCAGATACATCCTAGATAACTCGGCAATATCTACAATAGTCCATAGATATATAAATACACACTATAGGATGCTCACTAGCCTATAACATAGTTCAGCCTGGGTAAAAGGTGACATATAAAACACGCTTTCCAGCGGCCAAGTACCTAAACCTACCAGGGAACATTAGCTATATCCAGCTACTCAACCTTTGCGATATCACGGTACCCTAACCATGATCAGGAGACTCAAGCTCGTATCACGGTACCATAAATATATATATATAAATTCCTTCCTAGTGCAGAAAGATAGAACAAATATCCATTATGTCGTTCAACTGTTTTAGTTGACAGGACATGCATCCATGTAGGATTTAACTGTTTTAGTTAATCCATTCCTTATGTATGAAGGGGTAGGACTTAGCTTTTTGATCTAATCCATCCCTGATATGTCACCGTCCCATACCGGTACATATAATGCAAATGATCCTTGAATGATGCAACATTTTCAACAGTTCATCAAATCATACCCACGTAATCCAAATAGTTGATATACAGAGTTTAAACAGTTCATCAACTTGCAATCCAGAATCCATCCATGTAATTAACGAGACAAAGTTTAATAATTCATCAAGTTAAGATCCAGTATCCATTGATGTCATTGACAATTTAATTCATTTAATTAAATTTCAACTAACCCATAGTACAGTCCAGCAGTTGACAATATTAACAATAGTAAGAGTCAATTATAAAGCTGAGAATGCCAAACTATAACTCAGAAAAATCCACAGTACTAACCAATAGTTGCTGAAACATAAAGAACAGTTTAACCATTAAAATAACAATCTCCATTTAATTAATGGAACCTAATTTATTAGTTCCTTAATTAAAATCCAACCTATGCACAAATAAGGTCTAATAAATACATGACCCTATTCTGTATCTAACATAGATTTTAGAACCATCCTCCAGTCATCTAAGTTGTTAAATTAAATTTACACAAATAGATACTTTACAATCGCCAACAATGTGCGTCATTACTTAAAACTCTCACACTGTGAAAACCCTTAGCATATTAGGATAAATTATTCATGATGAGTTCTAATATAGCATAATATCATATTTAGATTACATGCAATAGTCCGTTAAATTTTTAAAACAAAACTTTGCGCACTAGTCCTTCCTATCCGTTAGCAGCGTACAAATTCGCTTATTTTTACACTGTTTATTCCATTTGCCCTATGAACCAAAATATACAATTAGAGGAATTAAAAACCCTTGAAAATACTTTTAGAATTCTCATTCCAGTCCTTAAAACCATTTAGAATTTCAAACTTAGCCCAAACAGTGCCCAAACAGCTCCAAAATGCATCCAAACGTGTCTTAACCAAGGGAGCCTGCTCTAAAATAAAAGAGCAGGCTTTATTCTACCTAGAGCCGGCTCCCTAACCCCTTGGAGCCGGCTCTAAGAAGGGGGAGACAGCTCCCACAATTTGGAGCCCTCTCTCTCTCACTTTGAGCCTTCTACTCTGCTCCAAACTCATCTCTGCTTCATTCGGTTGCCTTCTGTGCTTCCGGCAAAGCTTCCCATCCTATCCCCAAACCTTTGTAGCATCTTTAGAACTCTATTTAAGTTTCTTACAGTCCTAGAACCCCTCATACTCCAGTGTAAATCAATCGACAGAAAGTAAACTCACAACAGAACAGTTTATGCAACAATAAGTTTAAACTTTAAAAAAACGCAGAACAGATTACAGAAAACATTTAGCATACATAAAGTCCGTTTTTAAAAGTTTAATTACGTTCCTGGAGTCTATATAAGATGCACAGAACACAAGTTTACAGGAGAGGAATAGACTGAAACTTGCCTTAAGATTTTGGTTTGAAATCTTCATCGTCGTCTCTAAGTTTCAGAGCTTCTTCAAGACTGTTCATTCCTCTAATCACTGCTCCAGTTCAATCTCACAGTAAACCATTCCTTCCTCCTTGATACGACCTTCAGTTACATTGCTGAAAGCCTTTCCCCAGTTTTCCTTTCATGTTTTACCCCTCAGCCTCTCTGTTTCTCTTTTTCTCTAATTACGGGAACATAGTTTGTTTTTTTTTTTAAAACCCTTGCCAGACCTACAACTTATATATATATAGGCTCCATTAAAACCCTAATCCTAATTTCCATGACTCATTATATGACGGCTATACCACATAAACCCTAAGCTTAATTTATAAGCCATATAAGCTATATACAACACACGTCAGTTAAAACCAATTAATCAATCAATTAATTAAAACAAATAATCAATTACTTTAAAATACCAATTAATCATCCAATTAAATTAAAACAAATAAGCAATTAATTTAACACAAAAACAATGCTAAGTAAACATATAGCCAAATACTCACACAAAACACAAAATCCAAATAATTAAATAAAAATGAAAACAAAATTCAAAGAAAAATTTAATTTAAATTCTAACTATATCCTTCTAAATATTAGGGGTATTACACTCATCCTGCGTGCGAAGAGGGACGTTGTCTGAGACCGCAGCCTCGGATCTTGCCTTCCGTTGTTGCTGAACCTCATTCGGTTGAGCCTCATTGGGTCGTGTCCCATTAAGTGGAACCCCATCAGGCGGAAGTCCAGTAATCGGAGGAATATTCTGACTAGGGGGTGCTGCTGTGTCACCCACTGGTGGCGGTGGTGCCAACTGAGCCTGCGTCATTTGCAGAGTGTTATTCTGCTGTTGAAGCAAGGCGATTTGAGCCACGCTTGCTTCGTTTGCCTGACGAAGTATGTCAAACTGGTGTAGAAACTCTTCACGCATCTTTTGCATCAACTCCGTCGATTGATCTGCTGAAGATCCTCCGTTCGACATTCTGGATGGTAACTTCAGGATTCACTTGTGAAACAAAAACAAGAATGGGAATATATTTGCACATAATTCCCACAGATGGCACCAAAGTGTAAGTGCAAAATTTCGCTCAACCAATAATGATTGATAAAAATTAAACAACTCACTCAATAAACAATAAAAATAAACAAGAACAGTGTGTAGAGAGGCGCGGAATTGCTTAATCCCTTTATTGGAGGTTTAGGCCTCTATTTATATACAAAAGTTAGAAGAATTATGGTAGGACTCGCGTTACTTATCCTCTAATTCTTTCCATATATCAATTTCTTTACAAATAGAATTCTTTCCTCTTTATAATTCTTCCCTTACTAGATTTTCCTTACACAGAACTTGCTTCTTTTGGTGACTCCTTTTCCTTACAGGACCGTCTCCTTCTTTAAATGGATTTGGGCCGCATTTAACTTGGTCCACATGACTGCTGGCGTCTTGATTCGGGCTTTAGTAAAGCTGGTAGTTAGATAATAGTAGTTTTGGGCTAAGAACCAACTCAACTTGGGCTTCTGACGAGATGGGCTTTGAACTTTATTGAAGATAAAGTTATATTTATGATGACGTGAACTGCTATTATTGGAGGGAGATTTTTCCCTCCATACTAGACTATCCTTTTAAAATTAGGGGTATTACAGTTTAACACAACATAATTATAACCCACTAACACGAACTGCAACCCCTACTCAGATTGATCAATGGTGTCCAATAAAATGCTTTGAGAAAGTTAAAATAGTAAATTTATATGAATTCAAAAGTCAAAGGGCAACAAGTGCTTTAATTTTGATTTGGGATGTCATTATTTAATTTACTAAACTTCGGAGGTGTCATTGTTCAAAAAGTACGTGAATTGTAACTACGTGTCTTTAACCCAAACTTAGAGCAAAAAAACCCCCTAAACTATGGGGGTTTTGCAACTAACCCCCAGAACTACAAAAAAAAACCCCCCTGAACTTTCAATTTGTTACAATTTGCCCTTTCAGGCCATCGGAAAAGAAAAAAGACAAAACTGCCCTCCCTATAAAATAACGCAGTTTGCTGATAATATCAATTTCTCTAATTGACGCCCTAACTCGTATGGCACCATCACAGCTTCGTCGCCAACACCATCGATCCAACCTAACCCTCTCTCCTCATCGACCACTGCCGCTGTGAACGTTCTCTCCCGACTCCTTCATCGCCTCCCTCCCTACTCGCAGCTCACCACCACTACCCACCACCTCTCTTCCCCTCATCACTCTCTCTGACCCAAACCCAACTCTTTTAACCAATCTCATTTCTGCTTCTTCTCAACTCGGTTTCTTCCAACTCACCCACAACTCAATACCCTCCTAACTCGCTCACTCAGGCGAATCCGATTCACTTTCTCTCTTCAACCTTCATCACGATTAGAAACAGTTGTTTGTCCCCAAAAATTGGCTCCTCGGTTATGACAGTGATGACGACGAAGATGACGATGGAACGGGTGACTTGTTCTGTTTCAACTCGTCTTGTTCTACTGGAGGTTATCGGAGTGCTATCCTGCGCAGTGGGTTTTGAGAACTCGTTTCGGATTCTCAATTTTGAGGCGGCTAAGGAGTATATATATCCCCATTTGGGATTCCATTCATTTTAAAGTTTGATTGGTGAGCATTATCACATCTTCGTCAATTAATTATTTTTCCTCAGGAAGAAATTTCAGGCGAGATTAAGGGCGTTCTTAATGAATTGGTTCGCCACTTGGTTGTGCGAGAGCAGAGGAAGCGAGCCCTGATTTTATTTCTGTATGTATTTGTGTATATATATATACCTTACAATATAAAAAGAAAGTGACTGAGACGGAGCAATTATGGTCGCCGGAGCAAGTGTGGCTGAGGTGAAGGGCAATTACGGCCGTCTGATGATCGCTCGTTCCCTCTCTTTACGCTTAAACCTGTTGATTTCAGAACCGCCGCAAGCACCGCCGTTCCATCCCACCAAGTATTGCAACCTAATCACAGAACCGTCGGTGAGGTTCATTCCGAGTCACGTGTGCTCACCGTTGAATCCTTGCTTCCCCGCCGTTTCGAGCTCGCTGTAAGCCCTCTTTGCTGCCTTATTGGGCATCCTCATGAGCTCGCCGACATTCTCGCCGTCACTGTGGTCCCCGGTTAAAGCCATGTTTGGATAATCACAAGGTTAAAGCCATGTTTGGATATTGAAGTCAAAGGTTGGAAATTAAGGACACTCTTGTCCTTTCATGCTTCTAAGTGCAGTACGGTCTTTTAAAAAAATTTAACCAAATTTAATGGCCAATTCTCATCGGACCTTGGCCGGATGGGATGATTTACAACTTTTTTGCATAATTCAGGGGGTATTTTGCATTTTTGATAGTTCAGGGGGTTAGTTGCAGGTTTCCCATAATTCAGGTTTTTTTTTTTTTTTTTTTATGATTATATTTTGGAATAAGAATGATGAGAAAATCAATCCAAAGTGCGAATGTTGTTAAGTAAGCGGGTCTTAATCCGGAATAAGTTGAATTATAGAGGGGCTTATATAAATAAAATATTTCAAAAAGCTTTGTGAATCCAATCAGCCCCAAAATCAACATAGGAGAAAGAAGAGAGAAGGTCGAGATCAAGCCAAGCCTCCATGGCTTCTTCAAATTCGCTTCTGTTTCTCCTCTTCCTTCTCTCCTCATCTTTCCATATCTCATTAGGGCACCAAATGTAAATAAATCTCTCTCTCTTTATACATATAGACCTATATATATATATATATTTGGTTTATGAATTGACGATTGAATGGTTGATCGATCCATCTGTATAGTTATATAATGTTTTGTTATAATTGAAGTTCAATTTTCGATTTGAATTACGCAGAGGTAGTGAAAGTGTTGGTGGAAGAAGAGAAGAAAGCGTAGTAGCAGCAGTAGGAGAGCGTCGAGTTCTGATGAGTTTCAAGGAAACCCCTTCAGGAGGTAACTTCACTTTCGAATGCTCTCCTTCTGGTCCCTGCGTCGCCTGTGTATACTCAGAAAAGGTTTTTCTCTCTCTATAAATATATGCGCATATATATATGTGTGTGTGTGTGTGTGTGTGTGTGTGTGTGTGTATGTATGAAAGTTTTTGTTGTCAATTAGGTCAAATTTGACTTCTTTGAGAGATTAGTATGTGATTTTGATATGTTATTGTGTTACTTGTGCATTGAAATGATTCGATTTGATTGAATTTTAGATTCTTTAGTTGAAGGCACAATGGAGTACTATATTTTAAATTTGTTAGTTAGATCATTTAACTTCATTGAGAGGTTAATTTGTGATTTTGATATGTTATTGTGTATACTTATGCATTGAAGGGATTCGGGTTGATTGAATTTTTATATTCTCTAGTTGAAGGTTTAATGGAGTACTATATTGGAATTGTGCTGGAATTTTGTTTGATTATTGTGAAATCTTTGATGTTATGCTTTCTGGAGAGAGATAATGTTACCTATTAAGTAGATTTAGAATTAGATTAATAATCTGGATTTTTGCCTGCTTTCCATGATCAAACTGTTTAGTGGTATGATATAGAATGGTCAACACTGGGGACATTTAGATATCTCATGGAAATTGAGTAGATTTATTGTGGTTTCGATTGGGAGTTGAAAGCAGTCAGAATGTATTTGATCAGCTTGTTTCATTACATTTTTTTTAAAAAAAATTAATTGCATTTTGAGGATCTCAGTGAATGACCTTGATTTTACTTTATCTAAGTCAAGTGATGATGCCTCCAAACAATACAAAAAATCATTTGTATGACGAATATGAAACACAATGGTGAGTGGACTGATTCAGTCATTGTGGGAATTCCACTTATTAAAGCAAACTAAGGTCTCCTGTTCGGTGAACAACTATTAGATAAGTATAGTAGATTATAACATCAAAATCCCTTTGGTGCGTCTTTTACTGATGAGATCTCTGTTGAAAATAAACTTGATTTTAGAATTTTAGTTGTAATTTGTATTTTCAAGTATTTGGTATACATGATGCATGTGTGCATTTCATGTTAGTGAGGTAGTAAATGGTCTTGATGAAGAAGGTTATGTAAGACTAAGATGTATGGGAATTAAGTCTCCTAAATACTATGTTAGTGGGAGTTTGTATTTGTGTTAGTGGAAGACATAAGAGTTAAGCCTACTAAATACTATGTTAGTGGGATTAGTGGTAATAATTGGGCATTGAAATGTAATTGGTTACATATGTCTTAGAGCCTATATAAACTCATGTAATATACCTATTTTATGTAGGGAGAAAAGTTGAATGAGTAGAAAAATAAGATGAATTAGTGGAATAAAATAATTTTCTAAGTATTCCTCCATGTCATTCTCTTCCAAAATATTATTGAGTGTTGTGTGTATCTAGACCACTATTTCCAACAAAGTGGTATCAAAGCAAAACTAGAAAGTGATATTTGAGAGCAAAAGCCAACAAAGTGGTATCAGAGCCAGGTTATTATCAGAGCCAGGTTCCATATTAGAGCCAGGTCATTATCAGAGCCAGGTTCCATATCAGAGCCAGGTTTCATGTTCAGAACTTAGACGATCCTGAAGGCCTGACGAAGTTGATCCTAGAAGCTTCAACATTTTTAAGGAAAACATGTTTCTCCTTGATGATGAAGAAGAGGGGAAAATGTATTTTCTCAGTGAGAAGATGATGTTCTCTAATTACAAGAGAATGAGAATCATCATGACTTCATACCTCAAAGCATGTGATTTGTGGGATGTTGTTGGATTAGAGCCAAAGAATGGCACGTCCAACAAGCTTCGTGAAAAGAAAGAAGAAAAGGCATTGGTAGTGTTGCAAAAGGCAATACATCAAGAAATTTGGGAGTATTTTGGAGAGTCCAAAACTCCAAGTTGTGTTTGGAAGATACTCGAGACCATCGTTTCTAATCATAGAGATGAATCACTACCCATGGAGTATTGGGTACAATGCTTTGAGGATGATGAGTTTAAGAAGGCTGATTATGGAAGTCTTGAGGACAAAGGTGTGGAGAATGAAGAGGCGTACAACACAAATCAAGTAGAAGAGTTTGAAGAACAACTTGAAATGGTGAATGAGGAAGAGGTAAAGAAATGTGTTGAAGAAGGGATTAAAAAAGTGGAAGAGAATGAAGTTAAAAGAGAAGACAAAGGAGAAGAAAGTGTTAAAGAAGATGCACAAGTTGATGAATTTGGTGCATTAACATCTTCAGGTATGGTTACAAATTCCACCTTGAAAGAAGTTGTATTTGAATTATTTGATAAAATTATGATTTATTCATATTCATCTCAATTGGAAAAAGAAATCAAATATTATGAAAATTATGTTCATATTGTGGAGAATGACGAACTTCTTTTAAAGAAAGTTCTAAAGAAGTACGAGATTGAAGCTCAAGATGATAAGAAATTCTCAAATTGTTTTTTGAAAAATGGTTTGGAGAATTTTGTAATTGACACAGGTTGGGTAAATATGGAGTTATTTTTTTATTCCAAAGAAGAAGCACATAAGAAGTTCAAGAAATTTTAAGAATTCAAGAAGAGAGAAAACGGATTGTGTGCCCATGTGAAGAAGATAAAAGTTGATTATGAGAAGGCATTATTCAAGCATTTGAAGAAGTTTCACAAGCCCTACACATCAATGGAAATAGCTAAGAAAATTATAGCAATTGAAGGATGTGGAACTCAAGACCAACCAACAAACTTTTGATCAAGCCCCAAGATCAATAAGAAGTTTTTTCAAGTCACAAAATCAAGTTTAAAGGGGGGTGTTGAAAATAAACTTGATTTTAGAATTTTAGTTGTAATTGGTATTTTCAAGTATTTGGTATACATGATGCATGTGTGCATTTCATGTTAGTGGGGTAGTAAATGGTCTTGATGAAGAAGGTTATGTAAGACTAAGATGTATGGGAATTAAGTCTCCTAAATACTATGTTAGTGGGAGTTTGTATTTGTGTTAGTGGAAGACATGAGAGTTAAGCCTACTAAATACTATGTTAGTGGGATTAGTGGGAGTAATTGGGCATTGAAATGTAATTGGTTACATATGTCTTAGAGCCTATATAAACTCATGTAATATACCTATTTTATGTAGGGAGAAAAGTTGAATGAGTAGAAAAATAAGATGAATTAGTGGAATAAAATAATTTTCTAAGTATTCCTTCATGTCATTCTCTTCCAAAATATTATTGAGTGTTGTGTGTATCTAGACCACTATTTCCAACAAAGTGGTATCAAAGCAAAACTAGAAAGTGGTATTTGAGAGCAAAAGCCAACAATCTCTTATTGTTTTGCATCTAAGATTTTTAGTTGATATTCAATAAGCATGCAGATATTTTAGCAAGATCGTATCTTGTTACAGAATTGCCAAACGGTGAATACCTATGAAGTTGTTATCTGTTCCTGTTCCCAATTATATATAATTCTTATTCCTTCTTCTCATCTTGTCCCATTATTTATTTAGCATCTTTTATGACTTAGATGGTAGCATGATAAGCTAGCCATGTCTTAGATGAATTTATATACTTGAGTAGTGTTATATAAAAAGAACTTTTGAAATTTTTTTAAATTCACATACAGAATAACGTGTAATATTTTTTCTATCATTTAAAAACAAAAGAGCATCATTGTCTATTATTATGAAAGAACCACTACCTCATCATTCTCGACATAGATCCTTGTTCGAAATTCTGACTGTACATCAATTTTCCTATTTGTACACATACAGAGAATATGATTTGGCATGTTGTAAGATGTAAGCTGTAAAATTGCACACACTGTGTTTCTTAAACTATGTGCTTGAAATATGACATTTGAAATTAAGCAAGAAGATTGGCAATATTTATCATTTTTTGAAGAGATTAAGATGACAAGTTGCTCATTGCTCAGTTCTATAATATACGGACACGGGTACAACATGATACGAAAAATCTCAAAAAAGAATAGGACATGGATACGATAGGAATACACCAAAAAATGATTGTATATTATATTATTATTTATATTTATAATATTTTTACTCTTTTTATCCATATTATAATGAATCCACTAATTTGGAACTTTAAAATATAATTAACGGATATTATATTTTAAAGTTGCACTGGAATTACATTATTCCAAGAAAATAATTACTAAATTACTCTATCGTGTTTTGAAAGTGTTTCAAATGTATCTCTCCCAAGAACAAGAAAGATGGGGAGGATGGCTAATAGAATGAAATTGCTCTGCCATGTCCATGTTGTATCCCAGCCATGTCCCAGCGGTTTCCAACCAGAATAAAATTCAAGTTCCAGGACACTTTTAGCCGTGTCCCATATGTGTCCGCGTGTCTAATACCACCACGGCACCACCAGGAGAATTGTCAGGCTTGGAGTTCACTATCTACTCCGATGACATTGAAACTTTTCAGCTCCTAACTTATCATAGCTTGGTGTTTTGGTGGTGATTTATTGCCCAACTTTATCATCACCATTTATGGATTTCTACTGGAGATCAGATTTTCTGGTCGAACAATTTGAAAAAAGTCTATTATCTTATTCAATTGTTTGCAGTATGTGCTTTAGCGTCTTTAGCCTAAACCTTTATAGATATCATTCCTCTAGTATCTGTATTTGAACACATAGTGCTATCTGATTTGACAAGTTTCCGAGAAATAAAAGTAAAATTCTGCTCGGAGCATACTTCACAAATGCAATATGTCTAGTTTAAAATGGTCGCACAATGTAGCTATATTTTCTATGTATAATATCATATTTGGCTGAAGCTATTGTAGAACAGTGGTGCAGTCTGGGCGTCGTATCTAAAAGGGAAAGGATGGTCGGTTTTTGTCATTAAAATAAGAACAAAAATCGTTATACAGCGTCCTCAGACGTATAAATGCAGTCGGATACGTCCATCTTTGTGACGCTATATCATTTTCCTTAAAACAAATATCATATTTGGTTTTTTAATATTCTGTTTTACTTCTCTTCTTTGTTACATACCCTTTATCTGTTACTTATATGTTATGTTGTTGCATGTTTCTTGTAGAATGATGAAAAGTATCGTTGCAGTGAAACTGGATATCGTATCCCTTTTAAATGTGTAGAAATTGGAGCTGGTTTGAAGGAAGCAAACAGTGAAAAAAGTAAGAAGAGTCGATCAGCTCTTGAAAACACTTATGAAAGAGCAAAACCGCATGTAATGTTACATGTTGCAGAAGATCTCACTACTTCAATAAGACACAGGAGTTTGCTGGGTGAGGCTTCCACATCAGGGGATGTATCACAGGCCTACATCACTTACAGAAGCTGTATACCACCCGTTAATGAAGAGAAGATATCAGTACTTGGTTTTGAGGTATGTTAATGGTGCAACTTTTTAATTATGATTTCTGTTAATGTCTTTATGCTCTTCGAAGGAGAACTATGTTACATTATATTGTAGTTTTGACATCTTAATTGTATGATACACCAGATATAAATACAATCAACTGAATATGAATTACTCCCTCCGTCCCAAGTTAGTTGTTCCTCTTTCCATTTTTGGCTGTCCCAATTTAACCGTCCCATTGGAAAAGTCACTGTGAGATAATTGCATCTTTCCAAAAATATCCTTTTAACTTTTGAAACTTTCCAACTTGATAATATGCTCACACACACACACATATACATATGGGGTTAAACTTCAAAGGGTAATTTGAGAGTATCAAAATGGGTGAATTCATCAAGTGCATGTGCCCTTGAAAGTTGGATCCCCAATTAAATAGGGACAAAGGGAGTTTTTAATCCCAAAAAAAAAAAAAAAAAAAGGGGGACAGAGGGAGTGTATAGTTAATCTAATATATTGTCCTATTGATTTAATTGTATTTGTTACCCATTAGTTCTTAGTTCTTGGTCTTCTCATTTGTACTAAAGTAATCCAATTGTGGATATATGGTTTAGTCTGAAAAATGAGTTATTTGTTTTACATGGCAGCCTATACCTTTTGCTTGCTTTGTTTTATTGGATCTATGCGTGTAACATGCCACAATAAAAACGTATTGGCATTAACCAAAGGCCATAGATAGTGAATCACTCCTCTTTCTTCTGGAATTTTATACCATTCAAATTCTAGATGGATGACTATGTGGATGTGATAGGAGTTATTCAACATTTTTCTAAAATTTGAAAGTAACATCGGGTTAGAAACTGTGATGGGAGTTATTCAACATTGACCGCTGGATACTTGGATATTAGAAACTGTGTAGGATATATCTTTGCGAGAGTTGTGTTAGAAAACCCAGTTGGATTTCATATTCGCTGAAGTGAAACGGTCGGGCGAAATTACATTAGAGAAAGAACCTCTTGGCGGAGTCCAGTCCCCCGAAATCAAGTAAATCTCAAAGTTATAAAATAGACACACCAAATCTACATGGAGAACCTCAATGGTAATTAACCACAAGAACTCTCCATAGTTGATCAGTCCTATAATGCAAAGATTAAATGTGAAATTAACACTTCGTTGCATACTCCCACTTTGGGATCTTCAGCCAATTAATTAATCAAAATCAATTAATAGTTGATTAATTGTTATATAACTTTGAATTTGATTATTGCTAATCAATCAATCAGTTAACCCCAAAGCCAACCTCATACTAATGAAAAGAGACATGCCAGACCTGCGTGGAAAACCTCAATGGGAATTAACCACGGGGCCTAACCATAGTTAATCAGTCCACCTATGCAAAAATGAATTACAACATTACCTATCTGTTATGAACTCCGTGGATCTTCAGCCCAATGGTTTATCTCGGATGATATCATTCATGCCGGCTCAAAATTCCAACTCCGTGATCATTGGTCACTGCTATTAATTATCAAATTGGAAGTTGCATATTCTTAGTATCCTTTCCTTACCAGTAAAGAGTCCATCAGTTTTCAGCTCCAGATCAGTCAGTATTTAGATTTATACAGTCACACTAATAAATTAGACTTCCACAGTTCCGTCTATTTTTGAAACAAATCATTCTTTATGCAACATCCATGTATTGTGTTTGGCTGCTACGGTATTTGTGTGCTCGTATATGTGGGTATTTATTATACATAGTATTCTATATATAATCAAAGCGGCCAGGTCATGAGTTTTTCCTATGTAGGAAAGTCCTATATATCTTAGTATCATAATTTCTAGTTCGTTTTTTTAGTTCTCATGGTCGTTTTGTTTCTTTATATTTTCTTCATTATTTCCTGTTCATTTATGTGTTAGGTACAAAAAACTTAAGATGCATTAACGCATTACAATTGTTCCAGCAATATTAACTGCACGATGTATGTTTAAATTTCGCTTTGCAGTATGCCAACAACACAAGTATATTGCTCGATACAATACGAATTTCTACACAGAATTTTCCTATTTTCACTTGGCACTGAAGTGCTCTTCTTGTTCAGCAATTGCTTACATTTGCATCAACTCACATGCCATCGTGACAGCATTAGTTGGCTAACATGGTTACATGAGTTCAGTTAAAGTTTGCATTTATTTATCTACAAAAACCAGGTTGCATACTAACTTCCGTTCTTTGAACTACTTTGGACAGGGGATAATGTTGTGTTTTCTGCTCACGAGTGGTTATGCTGTATACTTTCGACGAAAACGAAACAATGCTATGTCAGGAGTTGCAGCGATGAGACTTCCTACCAGTTCTAGGTTTTAGCTCAGCATTTTCTTGTTATTTCATTGCGTAGTGAATTTCTGCTCAATTATTAAACACAAGAAGAAATTTGGTTCCTAATTCTCTCTCACGTAACCAAAATGCTTCCTTTTCTTTTCTTTTCTTTGTTTTTTTTTTTTCAAAAATTGTGTAACATGTATTATTCTAGTGGGAAAGCCATTTAGCCTGTTAATTTTGGGCATGCGTGTATTATTATTGGTTTTTGATTTGCAAGTAATAATACAAGCTTTTTCCAACCCTTTGATAGTATCCTTTTGCTTTTATATAATCGCATTTTTTTTTCCCGAAAAGTAAAAAAAAAAAAAAAAAAAAAAAATCCAGTTGCTACATTAATGATTTTTTTTTTTTTGGACTTAATGGAATAATATTGGGAATAAGTGAGATAATCCCACTTTATGGGCAGGTGGTAATAATGTGCTTACAAGTAATTGTAGTTTTTTCTTTTTCCTAAACCGCGCTTTGGAATTAACATATATTACTAAAATTTTATTTCGTAAACTATAGTGGTTTCCTTTACCAAAATGTTCCATGAGTCCTGAGAAGATAAAAATTAAAAAGAAGCGACTTTAATGGTCCTAAAAGCACTTTTAATTTAAATTGGGTTTGGATGGGTCTTGGTGATGAAAAAAAAGCGTTAGGTAGTAAAGATTTAATCAAAAAGACAATTTATTATTATTATTATTTTTTTTTTTTATGAAGCTAAAAATTGGAGCTTTTAAAATTGCGGGTAACTAAATTTTAATCAAAATGACATTTTTTAATCAAGCTTTTAAAATTGCGGGTAACTTAGTTTTATTTTTGACAATCTAGTCTCTTTGAGACTATTGCCTATGGCCAAGTGCGCGTGGTTTGTGGCCTTGTGGGGGTGCTGTGCGTCACTGCGTGGTCTAGAGAGAATTAATCTGTTGTGTAAAGTTTGAAAATATCTCCTCCGTAAATAAAAAATACAAATACTATATCAAAAAAAAAAAAAAGAAGGTGATAATAAAGAAAATTCAAGATAACTCCGTCTTATAATTACTTGATGTTTCACAATAATTTAATATTTGAGTAATGGCGAATGTTTATTAGTGTATGGTTAATGTAGAAACATTATTAATCAAATATAATAAAATTAATAATAAAAGTGTTTTAAGACAAACAAATTTAAAAGTGCTTGCATTTACGAAAGGCCATTTTTAGATAAACACGCTTTTACTTGCAACATCAGCGCGACACCATGAAACAAACACGTTGTACGGCAATTACATAAACCCAAACAGACCAGAAAATATTATTACAATCATCCTATGCACAACAAAAGTATCTGGACTGACTAGCATATGAGGAACGTAGATTAGTGAAATTAATGTAACAGCAATCTAACAACGAAAAAAAATAATAATAATAATAATTTATGCCTCAACAAAGACCTATAAATCTATTACCATTTCAGTCACTTGTCAGCGAAAATGGTAAGTGACTGGCATCCATTCTGAAAATCTTCTTTCCCTACCTTGAATTGTCAAATTACAAAACACAATATACCATGTTATTGCTGCTTCCTCCGTTTGAAATTTACAATAGGTTTTGTTGGTGCCTTCAATCGATTCTTCCCGGGAGTCTCGAGAGCACGGAATCGAGGCCAGCAGCAGGCAAACTCCAAAACAAAAAAGAATGATGTGGAAAACAACTCTCAAACAACAGAATTTGAGACACATCTATAGAGAAAAAATAAACACCGATATCGAGATCACAAAAAATAATCGGGAGTCTTGCGTGTGGCGTCAGGCTCGATCTGACGCGGAGCTGGGTCAAATTGAAGGAAATTCTGTTCCATGTTCTCCCCAATCTCCAGAATTGCAGCCATGTTCCCGCAACGGTAACAGTAGTTTGGAGCGCTAAATACTGTCACCACATTCTTGTCCTACAAAAAAGTATGGACAACAAGTACATTTTCAACAAGCGAAGGAAGTGAAAAACAGATGAAGGTTGCTCCTTGCATTTAACTTCACAAACCTGACACCAATTGTAACCTTCCATAACAAGCTGGTGAGCTCTCGTGATCATACTGAGCCCATTGGTGTGATTGAATTGAGCTGCTATGTCCTGCCCAAAAGTATAGCCAGCTCCACGTGGAGATATTCCCCACCCACACCGGTCATCTGGATCAGACCACAAGAGATCACACATTGGTCCTTCATGTGGAACCTACCAACCCAATGACCGAGTTAGAAAATGCATAATAGCTTATCCAGAAGTAGGGAAAAATGAAGTAAATAATAAATAAAGCCAAAAAAATCACGGGAACTTGAAACGGTGCAACTTATGCACTAGCAACTATGGTAAGAATATTTATCAAGAGAAAAGGAGGGGGAGAGACACACACAGAGGATGCAGATCGGGTGATGTATTGCCATCCTAGTTGAACACGGAAAACAAATCAAATGAGGCCATTCCGTTTTCAGGCCCACATTTTAAATTGTGGAACAATGATGCAAGTAAAATGGTTTTAGTGGTTATTTCTCAATTGCGGAAGTATATGGGTTACTCATAAACTGTTGGTATCACTGTCAGATTGTCAGTTAGAACTCCTCACATGAATAAGAATGATAAGCACAGAGCATTAAAGATCTCAAAAATGCACAAATAAGAAATTTCAAAAAGCAATAGTCAACAAAACACCATTGCTAGCAAAAAAAATCACAACGCACCACTTGGGAACTAACAGAATCCAAGGATACATGAAAATCAAGCATCAGAATGTCTCCCGTTGCGCAACACAACCTCAAGAGAATGTGTTATAATGGTTTGAAAGCAGACAATACTGAAACTAGCAAGCAAATCTACATTTGGAATGGAAAATATATTTTTTTGGAAAAAATCCTATGTGATAAAGCTAACAGCATCATCACTTACCACCAGCTTTCACATGACAGGTGTATATCAAATAACAAGAGCAATGAAGTTCATGTTACGACTTTGAAAAATATGAATTATTTGTACCAGACACAAAACACAACAATTGGTTATAGGTATGGGATATGTGTCATACAGGTCTAGTTGGACATACATTTAACATGCATATCCATTAATTCAAGTTTATTATTTCAATTCTATATAAACTTGTGTCCCTTGAGTCCACCGCATGTACCGAAGTCCATGTCACATAGAACAAGACAGAGAGTTGAACATAGCAAGGAACATTTTTTACTCGAAATATTTATGGATGTTGAACAAATTTAGAATCAATATTACAAACCTCATAATCAAGCAGGGAATTAAAAAAAGAAGGCTAAATAAAAAATATATATATAAAGAAAAATAAAAGTAAAACCCGACAAAACATGCAAGTAGATTTAAAACAGTCAGATAGAAATTGCAAAACTCCAAGGCTGCAATTGTTCATGTACCTCCTGTATACGGTCCAAGGAGCGAATATTATCTAATGTATCCAAAGATGGTGAGAGTCCTCCATGCAAACAGAATACCTATGATTAAAAACAAACAACTGTTATAAGTTGCTTTTAATTTTATGGAGATAATATGTCTGTAGAGCGTACAACTCGAACCTGACTTTCAATAAGTGCTGTAAGGGGTAGGTAATCAAAAAGGTCGGTAAAGTACTTCCAGACGTTGGCATTTCCATACTTCCTCAAACATTCGTCATAAAAGCCATACCTGGAAAATTGGGAAAATAAAATAAAAATATAATAATATGAAAGCTGATTAAATAGATTTACTAAACAGTACATGATCTACAAGGAAAATGACAAGTCTAAGCTGCATGAATCACACTTCAAGACAAGAACCTAGATAATCATACAAAATGGTTTCCGTTTGAACGCTCAGTTCTGATTTGATTCAAGTTAAAAGAATTACAACTGCAAGGGCAAGATGAAGACCAAGGACAACAAGAAAAGATTGAATGGCATGTGATTTAACATGCAGCTCTACATAGAGTTAGATTGAACAAGGACCCACATGCTATTGTTGATTCAATTTGAGTGCACACACATGCTGCAGGCATTCTTTTTCTCTTTTTTGGAAGCAATTCTACAATTCCCTCAATAGAAGAACGTCAAATTAAAAATACAGTACATCCATCGGCAATGGATTCCTCCTCATCAACTATGCGCAAAGTGCCCATTGCCCCATTATGGTGTTAGAGGAGGGATTGGATTTAACAAAAACCTCATATCATAGCTGATCCTTCTTTGAGTACATAAAATACCATACCAAAAAAACCATTTAAAAGCAGCACATCAGCCACAAAACAGAAATTTAACACCCTCGATATGAGGAATGCAAAAGAGTATGCACGTATACATGTTAGGCATGGCACTTGTCCTACCATAAAAAATTCCATTTCACTACATTATTCCCATGAGTTTTGGAAACATATAACAGGTTCACATGTAATTTTTTTTAAAATAATAAATGAAGTTCCATTGTCTATGTACACACAGGACATATACACAAGCGCATGCACCTATCCCATACAAATAGACAATCTAAATCCTTTTCAGAAGGATACAGGTACAGAGACATCATAAGAAGGAGCACCATCGCTCTCCAATTCATCCCTCCTCCCTGAAATGTGGATGTGTTTGAAAAAATGGTATATATCTGATTAAATATTTTGATCCTTTTTTTAAAAAAATAAATAAACCTGAGACTTTGTCAACCTTCTGTCATAAGTATCACTCTTCATGGTATAACATACAATTTGAAAAACATAAGCCTCTTATGAAACAAAGGAATAGAACCAGTTCACAAAAGCAAGGGGAAGGCCATCATCCTGTGTGGTCCCAACCCAACCTTCAGTCATACATTAACATTGTTCACAAGCAAGAAAGAAAAATAGAATACTTTGACCACCATTTACAAATTACTTATTTAATATTATAATAAAAATACTTGTAAAAAGGCCTTACACTTGAGTTATTTGCCGGCTCTCATGATTTCCTCTAAGGATTACAATTCTATCTCTATAACGAATTTTCAGAGCCACTAAAAGTGTGACAGTCTCCACTGAATAGTACCCACGATCTGCATTAATCAAAACATAATTTTAAAAAAATGTTAGAAAGATTTTTTAAGGTAAAATTTCCAAAGAAATGTAGAAGACCTGCATCAAATGATGTGTACCATTATATGAAATGGAAGAAACCAATTTTAAACACCAGTGAATTGGAAAAAAAGGGAAGGAAAAAAAAATGAAAAGAAAAAGAGACTGCAGAAATAATATAGTTGATCAGGCTCACAAAATTTCGAACTAAATGATAAAGTTTTATGTTTCACATGCAAAAGCAGGACTACTACCTTATCAAATATCTTTAAAATCAGTTGCATGGTTTAACCAACAGCCATTATGATTAAATACACAGCTACATCATAGTGAATCCCCTCATTTTTGACTATGTCTAGAACCATATCATAGACCAATAGATCTTGTAAGTAATACCTCACATGATGTACTTTCACCTTCCCACATCCTTCCAAAACCTTCCACTAGAACCATATAGCTTCTTCCCCCTAATGCAATCCGAGTTTTTGTTATACATGACCAATCATATCAGCCAATTTCTTGAGTTATGCCGGCCACTGGAGTTGTCCTTTATTCCTCGTAAACTTTAATTCCATTCTTTTCAAATACCAATTCAAATCCCCAAAATTAATTTGGCAACACTCGTTGTATAAAGATGTTGAATGCTAGATGCTCAACATCCAATGTAATAAAGCATAATTGGTGTTGCATCAATAGTTCTAAAATTTCCCTTCAACTTGATGTAATTGTACCAAAATAAAACGCCAGAAGTGTCACTATACTTCAGTGTTGATCTTGGGTTTATGAATCATATCAAAACTTGGGTAGTGATGTGTGTGATGGTATGAGTGTTTATCTACAAACTCAAACGACGATGAAGATGAAAATTAGCGAAAAACACGCTGCAAATCTCTCAAGACTCAATCACATACATAGGTTAAAGGTAAATGAGACCTTAAATACCTTTTTTGACCTAGATTCAATCAACAATTGGTTTAAAATTTTGTTTCAAATGTATTTTTCAAAATTAGGATTTTTATCCCAAGTTTTCTAAATGATTTCAAATGAGTTTTTAAATCAGGGACATTTCCAAAAACAGGAGCGATCGGTCGATGTCTCAATGATTGACATGTTCCCAGAAAAATCAGACTGAAATCCTAAATGGCTTGATTGAAAGCCTGATTGATTGACCATGGACAGTGTGTGTCAATCGATAGCTTGATTGATCGACACATTGCAAGAGTCACTCGACCAAAGCCTTGCTCAATTGACCTGTGCAGAATTATATGTTTTGGTAACTCTCTCAAATCATATTTTTTAAATGATTTTACTTTCAATGCTACATATGACTCATATATTGGCTTTGAATATGAGTTTATAGTGAGTCTAAGGAGTCATGCATTGAGCCTCCATACATTATAGTTAGAAAATTTATATTTTTACAGGGAGAGTCTTTTAAGTTACTAGTGTTTACCATAAATTATTAATCACGTGTGATTGAGAAATACAAGAGCAAGGAGTTTATCAAAGAATTCAAACAAGAGCAATTCAATCAAGGAAAAGCTTTTAGTTGGAGGATTGAACGTCCATAGAGAAGCATATTGTGCGAGTAGGCCTGTTGATGGAGTGAACAGCCTGGAGACTCAAGCAGAGAGTCCAACGTTGGTCTGTGTCAAGAGGAAACTAGGGGACTCTAGAGTGGGAAACTAATAACTTCATTGTAGAACTTCTTCCTCACAGTGAATTGTTCATGGCTAAACGAGGTCCAGTGATCTTTTCCTGTTTAGTGTTTTTTGTGTAAAAAATCGTATATCTCTGCTTTACTTTAATTTTTTTTAATTAATAATATGTGTTTGATTGAATGATTTTGAGACACACAATCAAACTAATTTAAATAAGGAATAATGGTAATTTACTAAGTTTCAAATTCAACCCTCTAGGTCTAATTCACAGTGCTCGCTCTAACCTATGAGAGCCTTGGGGTAACAGTCCTTAGATTTCATAGCTTCCACAAACTTCCAAGCATCAACAATTATGAAGCTTTTAAGTTTTCAATGAACTTGGCAAAGCAATATAACATTATAAGTTGAATGTACAACGGCAATGCCATACAAAGAATATCTCAGCTAGAGTAAATTTAATGATCCCGTCAAAACAGGCAACCCTGCATTTTGTTCTTACAAGTGAAAAGAAAGAGATGGATCCTGTCTATGGCCAGAGGGGCTTAGTAATAAACCAAAGACTAAAGCTGTTTATGAGTTGGGCACACTTCATCTCCTATAGAAGACCATACAACTTCTTAAATATTTTTTTACCTTTATCTCTTTAGTTTATTGATTGGTTCAGCTATCTACTCATCGAAACTTTACCACCCCTACCAGCAGGTCAGTTGAACAAATACATTTCTTCTTTCTTGTTCTTTGTTTTTTAAAAAAATATATAATAAAATTAAACCATATTTTCTGCAAAATTATGAGCCACAATGGTTTCTAACAATCTTAGTCCGCCTCGTTATGGTTCCTCCTTCACCTAGCAACTCCTCAACCCCATTTACATTAATCTTCACTAGAGCAATCATCAACCATACTTGCACAAGCCAAATCATTCACTATGCATTGCCCTATCCAAACAGACCTCAATTTATGTATAGAAAGTGAGAACCAAAATGGAGCTCAGCTCAAAAATCTTGGGTTGAATTTATATACATAAAAACACAACCTTAATCATATAAGTACACCACGTCCTGATCAGTATCAAATATCTTAAATATGAAGAAAAAGAAACCTATACAATATGTTATTCAACATTTATCAACACAAACAAGGTGCCAATGGGACACTAAATATTTTCACACTCAGTTCCATATTCACAGGTTCCACGAAAAACAAGATAAATCTTCATAAATAAAACATCAGGCACCCCAATATAAACACACTAAGCAGTACCAACATATCCAACCAATGCACAGATAGGTACACAACACCCACAAATCGACCAATCAAACATTCCAACATCCAACCAATAAAAAGACACTTTTTCCGTCAGATATGGCACAAAACCAAAATCCAGAATAAAAATATAAAACTCCCAAATTAAACCCATCGAAAAATTGCATCATCATTACCAAAACTCACCGACGTAGTCGCCCATGAACAGATAATTGGTGTCCGGAGCACTTCCTCCTATCCGGAACAGCTCGATCAGATCATAGAATTGGCCATGAATATCACCGCACACGGTGACCGGACACTTCACCTGCTGCACATTATATTCCTCAACAAGTATAGCCCTAGCTTGATCGCACAGCGTCCGGACCTCAGCCTCCGACAGAGACTTGCAATCCATCAACTGCTCGATCTGACGGTCCAGATCCGCATGCGAAGGCATTGTCTCTTTCTCCGATCTGAAACACCGATCGATCAGACACCGAAGATCGAACCAAAAACTCAACGAATATCAATCAATCAGCTACGTACCGAGATTTGAATTCAATTCGATAGGTTCAGCATCCGAACACGACAAGCGATAAATTAGGGTTTCGTACTGAATCGATTTGAATCCGTTGATGGATCGTTACTCGCATCCTGATCATTTCATAATTTTGAGATTCGTCTCAATAGGAGATGACGAAAATATATATATATATATATAGATATAGATATATATTATAGTGTGAAGAAAGAAGAGAGAAAAAATGATTGTGGAATGGAAGGAGAGTGAAATGAAACTCAAATGAATGCAAATGAATGTGTTTGTTCACTTTCACGTCAATATTGGAGGGAACAAAATTTTGCGCTCCGGTGGCTCAGCTGAGTCAAAATCATAGGATCGAGGACACGTGTCCAATCAGAGTTTACAATAGATGAAAAAGGAAATTTTTTACAAATTACTCGGATTTATATAATTACAAAATTTGAGTCCTATTATATTTGATCTGTCATTAATGCATATTATACTAACACTCACATTTTTATCAATTATTTGAGGAATGCTAATTTAGGGCACATGACACGCTAATTAATTAAATATCTCTTATCATTATGGTACATTTAAAATTAAATTTATAGTACAAAAGTGCTCTTTTAATTATTTCTTCTCCCTTCTCGTGTGTTATATAGAAACACTTAAATTTGATTGAGTGTCTATATATATACAAACAACAGCTCTCCTTTATCTATATATATATATATATATAAACAATAACTTTCCCTTTTAAGTATATATAATATATATAGATTTAGTATCCATATATACAAATGGTTGTTTTTCTTTTTGTGTATTGAGTATTTATATATACAAACAAGCCGCTTTCCTTTTTGTGTTTATATATATAATTATATTATATATACTATATATGGATTCACAAGGAGAGATATTGATTAGTAAAGATTAGATGATAAATAGTAATTATATACAAACTCCCTTAACCGAAAAAACTATCATATTTTCCTTTTATTTTAAAAAATCTATTATATCATCTCCTACTCGTTAATTTCCCGTCTAAAACTAATGAAATCGTATCAAGTAATAATCACGTGCAACAATTTTTTGAGACCAAAATAACTTTATAATTTTCCATTTTTCTATAATAGGATTTTAGTGAGTTAAAAAAAACTGAAACAGTGAAGCAACAAGCACCTATTAAATTATTGAAAGATGTAATTGCTTTTGGTGTAGATTCAATATCATACCTAGGGGCGGAGCCAGAAACTTTCGTTGGGGAGCCAAGTAGTAATATAAAATTAAATTTTAAAATTAAAAGAAAATAATTGTAACAAATTTTTTTTTTTTTGGGGTGCATTTCTAATGCACGTTTTTAGAGCATATTTATAAATAATACAAGAAAAATAAAGAGAGAAAGACTGTTTAAAATAAATGAAGTTGTCAATTGTCCACCATTCTTTTTTTTTCTTTTTAAATCATAAAAAATAATGAAAAATAATTTGTTACAATGAATTGTCATACTTACCTATTTTAATTAATTCATTTATACAACAAATAAGGGAACGAGACCATTCACTTAATTGTATTGTGCATAAATAACCAATCAAAAATTTTCATTATTAGATCTGAAAGTTAAAAAAAAAAAATTGCAACACCTTTTTTTTAATTAGATCTGAAATTTTAAAAGCAATATTAAAGATTTTGAAAAGATCACAAGTATTTCCTTAGCAAACCACCTTCAATATTTGCCATAGAAATACCTTCAATTACCATAGATAGGTAACTACAAATGGAAATTTTAGAAGGTCAACTTAATTTTTCTATACAAAATCACTATTGAAAACTATATATATTTAGTATCAAGAAATTTGGGGTTTTTTTTTTTCTATATTATTATTAATATCTGTAAATTAGTTCTAGTAATACTAATTTTAGAAAATTTTGAAGGCTCAATGGAAAAGAGTTATAACAGTACAGAGAGCAATTAAGTTTTGAATTTGGTAGATGTATATTCATTTTTTTTGGACTTTGAAGTCATTTAGAACAATTTTGTTTAGGTTCTGAAATCTAATTTTCCCAATTCCCAATATTTAGAAGGAACTTTTGATTGAAGTGCATCACGATAGCCTGTTGAATACTGTCAATGAAAAACCACCCCAGAATTCCAACTCTATAAAAATAAGATACATGAAATTACAAAGTTATGAAATATAATGCAATGTAACGAGTATCGTTTTCCAAACAGAACGAAGCACCCAAAAACACACACACACACAAACACACAGAACTACAACATTATAATGCTCAATAATGACCATAGTTATAGTGAGCTTAGAAACTTGGCTATTTTCTTTGACACTGACTGCTGGGATTCACTGAATTGTTCTTCATCATCGTCGTCATTGTCATCTTCATTTTCGTAAACCAAATAAATCCCATACTTCTTCAGCTTTAATCCATTAAAGAATGGTGTCGGTCTCGTTGCAATCTGTATCTTATCACCATCACTCAACATACGAACAAACTGATGAAACTCCTGAAAACGAACCAGGTAGAGATGATCTTCATCTGTGTCAGGGATTCCATATAATTTGAGTGTGGTAGTGGCATTGTGTAATGGGCCGTTAAGTCTGATCAACTTCGCTTGAATATCCACTATTGCTGGGAGTCGACGTCTGTAATCATCCTGTGTTTGCTGGTCAAGAGAGACTACAACACCTATAATCACACCTTTGAGTTCACAGTTTCTGCGACTTGAGAAACTATGTATTTCTTGAACAAACCACTCTGGAATCTTTGTCCCAGGAATGCTCAAAGTGCTCAAATGCTTTAAAGCTACCTGCGTTCCAGAAAAAAGAATTCACTAAGTGTCGGAAAAAAAGAGAGAGAAATCACATGTTTGAATGCATCTGTGCGAGGGCTCCTAAATGAAGCAGAAGAGATCATAAGAGTGAAGCATGGAGAGAGATCACATGCATGACTGCATCTGCGTCATGGTTACTAAAAGAAGCAGAAGTGCATGTATTCATGGAATAGGTTATGGCATTCAATGTGAGCATAAGGTGTTAGTTTCGGAGAACTGTAAAAATTAGGATTTGAAGACCCGACTTTAATTTTTTTTCTCCACATATTTCTACCATGTATATGGAAAATGAACAAATTATACTCGTATAAACTTTCATGCACGGGAAGATGCTGAAGAGGGCACACTTACGCTTTGTGGTGAGTTATTTTCTTCCATCAACCAATTTGTGGCACTACATGACCAGTTTGTAACAAGTCATGTACCACATCTATTATATATGCTAGATCAGTTTGTAAAAAGTCATATATAGGTGGGTACAGGGACCTCGTAAATATGGTTACCTTAATTTTAACTATTTTTATCAAGTTTTGCACAAGCATTAATGACTTGATACAGTTGTGAACAGGTGAGTGCAAGGTTACCGTTGTTGCAGCGACGTCAGAACTGTCTTGAAAATGAAGGGTATCGAGCTCCAATGTCAGTCTTGCTGCAGAAATCTTTGGCCATTAATTATCCATGATGTATCTTTAAAAACAAGGCCCCTCCACATCATTTCAAAACAAGCAATACTTCCAAATGGGGTTGGACCTTACATGTCGTCAGATTCTACAGAGAGCTCTCCATATTACATTGCTTATTGTGAATTGTTACATTCTACAAACTACTGAAAAGGCATCCTGAGCTACTTCATATACTACCCAAATTAGGAGCAGGGCTTGAGGGGTATAGACGGCTGGTACACCGTGACAGATCTCTGAGTAAGTAGAATGTCAAAGCTCAAATTTATGTGGCCGATTCATCTTGTCTCGCTTCAAGATGTGCAGTCATGGACAGCTCTACAGGATAATAATCGGTATGTGGTTTGGTGGTTAAGTTTCAGGGGGTACATTAAAGTGAGTCAAGTGACTCCCCTCTCTCACTAGGACTCATCATATTTTGTTATAACTCTTAAAGAAACACAATTCTTGACGTAGAAATTACATATGCCCCGAATGACATGGCAACCTTAGAAATCAACCACATCATCTTCATGAAAGCATCATCCTGATAATGAATCCTTTGCATATGTAGAAGCTTTTCATGGCATCTTCATAAGACTTCCAAGAGAAGTTCAGATATTGTAGCAACCCATATAACCCAAGGAACATCCAGTGTTAGTGCACACTCACCTTTACCCTAACACAATAACCCCCCAAGTGAACGTGGAGGCATCCTATAGGGTACAAACACCCTCTTGACGTTAACTTTGTTGCATCTGCTCCTTCCATTCTGCAGGACTGCCTCACCACCTAGGAAGCACCGACCCTGGGACACGGGTACTATAAGCCGATATGGCGATACGTCAAATCTTGAAAAAATAGGACAGACACGGCAATAAATAAATAATTAATTTTCTTATATATATAAAAAAATATTTAATTTTTTCATTTTCTCTATACTTTTTTTTATTATTATTTTTTATTTTAACAATCTAAACTCTATTTAGAACCCATTTAAATTAAGTTCACTTATTTCATTCTTATTTCTTTTAAGGGTTATAAGCTCAAATTTTATTAAAATATAAACAGATAATGATATATCCATATATCCAAAATACAAAAGTTTTATCCTTGTAACCAAACAAGTGATAAAAAGAAGAAAAAGACCTTTATCCCCTCTGATTTTATTCCTCACATTCAGTACATCTCTCTCTCCTCTGGACCTTACACGGCTCAGTCTATAGGATAGATGTGTAGAAATCTGTTCTCTTTATATATAATACATAAAAGGGAAAGCTGCAGTAGAAAATTTAAGATACATGATGGGATAAACTGATACAAAACAATTAAATTTACCGATCTGAAATCTTTGGTAGATGAGATTGATAATTTTGATAAATTTCCAGTGAAAGAGATCAGAGAGATTAAAGATGAAAAAAAAAAAAAGTGAAGAGATGGAGAAGCTAGATGAGAAAGGAGACGAACAACCATCACTCATTTTAATAATAAAATAATCCGACACGTTTACAAGGTGTTGGACACGTGTTGGTGTCGGAAACGTCTGGTACGTTGGGCCTTACCTGCCACCACTAAGCAAATGTCAAAAGGGTGGAGAAGAAAAAATCGTGAAAAGGTGGAGCAGTAGGGCTACTGTTAGAGGGGGTCATGTCCCACGTCGGATCCGGATGGGGAAGGTCTTTGACATATATAAACAGGTATGCAGCACTACCTAACAACTTAAGTTTTAGATCAGAAGGCAAGCGCCCGGCCCATTACATGTGGTCCGGTGTCATACCAAGCGCCCCCACCTGGGTAGAATCCAGATTTGGGTTATTACTAGGTCCTCCCGTTGTTAGGGGAGACAGGTAGGCAGGGTGGTCGGACTCCAACAATAATGTTGGAAGTTCGGGCAGGGAGAATGTTAGAGAGGTCTTGTCTCACATCGGATTCAGGTGGAGAAGGCCAGTCTGGCATATATAGGCGGGTATGCAAAACTACCCAACAACTTAAGCTTTTGGTTGGGTTACATGGCAAGCGCACGACCCATTACAGCTACCATATAAAGAGTTGAGTTAGGGATCTGAATATTTGAATTAAGAACTACTATGCCTCACTAGATCCATGAACAGAGTACTGCCATGTGTTTTAGCTACAGGTTTGCCAATTCTACATAACATAAATGATCAGCTATGGTGAAAGTCCATAAATTATTTCTACAGTTACCCAGCTTTAATACTTACCATTAAACAGAGTTTTCCTTGGTATTATTTTCATTTTATCATAAGCCAACAAACATGCAGGTTTGTGTATAACATAAATACAAGTATTTACGTGTGTGTGTGTGTGTGTGTGTATAAATACATGGAGAGAGAGAACCAACCTTAGCAAGTCTTCTCTTTACTGCCGGAGAGCAAGCATTGCAACCACCAGTACACAACACTCTCAAAGACTTCAAGCGTTCCAGGCCAGGAATATCTGTCAACTTCTTGCAATTTGTAAGCCATAGCTCCAGCAAACTCTCCAAATTAGAAAGATCTGATATACTCTCCAATGCAGTACAATTTGCAAGATCCAACTTAATCAAACTTGATGGAAGTGGAGGGAGAAACTTGAGCTCTTTACATTGGGTCAAACACAAATTTTTGAGAATGGAAAGACCCTTCAAGCTAGATGGGAGGCTGCAAAAATTATTGTGACCAAGATTCAAATTTTCCAATGATGATAACCTTTCAAAATCATCAGCAATTTTGCCAGACAATCTCCAAGCAAAAGCGACCAGTTCTTCCAATAAAGAGAGATTTGAAAATGACATTGGAAGAACAGCTAGCTTGAGGTTTTCCTGTTCAGCTGAATCTTTCTGCTCTGAATATGGCTGTTTTCCCATTTTTAATATTTTTAAGCTTGAAAGCATCCCAAATTCTTCAGGTAATTCTGTCACAGCAGTTTCAGACATGAGGAAGTAACGCAAACGTTTCAATCTTCCAATTGAAGCTGGTAGTGTTCGAAGATATTTACAATTGTTCAATTTCAACACTTCAAGTCTTTCCAACGACCCTATGGTTTCTGGCAACTCTGTTATTATGGCATTATCCAGAGACAAATTAGTTAGATTTGACATGTTACCTAATGACTTTGGTAAACATTTAAGCGACTCGCAGTTTCCCATCTCAAGCTTCTCAAGAGTGGTCAAGGCGCCTAACTGATCTGGTACTTCCGTAATTAATGTCTCTTTTAACTCGAGCCAAACTAAAGATGCTAATCCTTCTATGGAAGTGGGCAATTTCCCCAGGCATCGACAATGACCAACTGTGAGGTTCTTTAAAAGGGATAATAAACCAACAGAATCTGGCAGTTTCTCTATTGAACTTCTGTCAAGAAAAAGTTCAATTAAAGATTTGAGATTGCCAATTGAATCAGGAATTGAAGTGAGTGACCTACATCTCCTCAAACTTAGCTTCTCAAGATTTGCCAACTCTCCAACAGAATCAGGCATTTCCTCTAAAGCAGAACCATCAAGGAAAAGCTCTCTCAGGGAAGTCAATTTCCCTATGAAACCAGGTAGTTGTTTCAATGATTTGCAATCAGTTAAACTGAATATTTCAAGCTTCTTCAGGCGAAATATAGAGTCCGGAAGCTTTACTACTGCTGTCTCATCGATGAGCAGCTCCCTTAAGAATTTCAAACTGCTCATGTCTTCTGGTAGTTCTTCCAGTTTCAAGCAACCAGAGAGAACAAGGTTCTCAAGGTGTTTCAATCCAGAGATATCGCTCGGAAATTCCACAAGGTTCCAACAGCCTTTCAAGTTCAGGTGCGTTAATGTACTTAAATCCCCAACTGATATATGCATCTTAACTAGTCCCTTGCAATTTTTAAGAATCAATTTCTCCAAAGGGAGCCCAGATAGATCAGGGATTTCAGTAAGAAAGGGGCAATCATGGAGCTTCATAACCAGCAACTTCTCAGCCATCTGTACAAGAAGTTTTTCTCAATACAAAAATAAATTCTATGCAGTTTCCATAAAGAAATCTGGATACTAGATTAAGCATAATGTACGAGCTATACAAGTAGTCATTATACAACCTTTACCAGAGACCCAAAGCACAGATATCATTTAGTTCATGCATACTGAGAATTAAGAATGCTTCAGAATGCATACCAGTAGATTGTTATCGAATGGGAAGCAGAATGCGACAAGCATTTAAACTGATCAATTTGGGATCCAATCAGCCAATTTAACTAGATTTGGTGATGAATTGTGAGGCATACACACCCAACAGCCTAATCAAGTATATAAGAATCTAAATATACTGATATAATAATACAGTATATAACATGTTACATAATATATTGCAGTTGTTTAGTATTTAAATAATTTAAATTGCATTGGACCAGAATGGATTCAAGAACAAGGGGATTCAGATTCAGTCTATATTCTAACAACCTTAAGGTTAATTTTTTAATAGTTCAGTCCAAGTACTAAGTGCCAGAAGGAGTCCTATCAGGGTTCACAAGAGTGTTTCCATAATACAACTCAGTAGAGGAAGAATGGGGATGACATGGATCACTCTTCCACAAACATTTGGACCTCAGATGACCTAACTATCACAAATTTAATAAAATAAAGTAGTTGAATATATAACAACACTCACCTTGTTCCTGTTCCAGTACCACCATCTCCAACCCCAGTCCCACCATCTCCAACCCCACACTTGTGTAATATTGCTTTCTGAGAGATCAAGGACAGCAAGATCCCCGGAGCGAAACTCAGAAGGAAGAGTTTTCAAAGGGCATCCTTTCCATTGCAGCCACTTCAACTCAGCAGGTAGTAATTTAAAATTTCCAACCAATTTCACATGATTAATCTGAAGAAGCCTTAGGTGAAGCATAGATTTAAAAGCTTTAGTGCAAAGTATCACATCTTTCTCCTCCTCTGCCCCATGGCCAGAATATTTCTTGTATATTTCCTTTAAGTATGAATATGCAGATGCCAAACCAGGGCTTGTTTGAAAGTTTGCCCAACAGATTTGTTCAGAACTTAAATCATGCTTCTTCTCAACGTCAAGGGTGATCCCTTGAATGTTTCTTGTTCCCTAAGATTAGTCAAATGATTAATTGAGTCATAGTGTTCAAAAAAATAATAAATAAAAATTGTTTTTCCACTTTAGAATACATCAGCATAATAAAGTTGTTAAGGTCACTAATGGATGCAACAAATTTACCACTTTAGCCAAAATTTTGACAGAGAACTGCAGTAAGCAAATGATTTTCTGTTGCTAAAATGATATCGAAATTCAAAAATAACAGAAAATAACAAAAAAGCATATCCAATCATTCAATTATATTGTATTATTACTTTAAAATGAGTTAAAAGCCTATATTGAACACTATATTAGATAAAAACATTCGTTTACTCTAGAAAATAAAATAAACTAACTAAATAGAATAGATATTTAGCAGTGTCCATGTGTCCTTCTGTTTAGAGATTTGACACGTTCGACGCATGGATACATACCCGTACCTGAGACGTGTACCCAAGTCCATGTAACATAGCTCCTCATATTTTATTTTCCTCGTTGTTTTCCATGGTATCCAACAAGAATGATTTCCTTAGTATTGTTTTTCTTTTCCATCACCATAGTCTAAATCCATGAACCAAACAGAGCTTTAATATTCACTTTAAATATATATGGCATTTCAAAAAATCATAAGCTAATCTCGACTTTGAAAATTAGCTTTAATTTAAAGTCTCATTTCTTACTCCATACGCATGTCAGCAATGTTAAGCATCTAAAGACAATGAAATGGAAATTCCACCATTTAGATTGCTCCATTATTCCTATTACTTTCTCTTTCTCTAGAAGCAACATTGGGGGATTGTCTTGGTCACTATGGTCAGCCGACTTTCTCAAGGAAATGAGTGTTACGTTGACAATCAATGTAAAACCTTATGTAAAATTACAATGAACAGGAGTTCTGGATTGAAACAGAATTCATGTAGCCAACTCTTGTAGGGGAAAAATTCAGTTGAATGGAGTTGATGTGCACGTGTATTAAAAGGTGGCTTGCTATATTATCAACAACTTTTAAAATGAATAAAAATTGCTCATGAAAAGAAAACAGGAATCATGCTATTATCCCCATACCTTGTCTTTCTTCAAAACGTCCATTATTTCATCATGATCCCACAGCCTGCTACGCATGCCAGGATCTTCAGGGTTTTCGCACTGAACTATTTGTCTTCCCATGTCTCTAAGTTGATCATGCATCCACAAAATATTGCCATCAATGATCTTAATGAGAGATTTTCCTGTGAGGACAGTGATTGCTATTTCAGCATTAAAACCGCAGCCCTTAAATATGTCAATAGCATCTTCTCTTTCCATTCTCTTATTAACAAAAAAACATGCAATGTCAAGAAATATCCACTTTTCTTGATCATCTAGCTCATTGAAACTTATCTCCAACACATCTTGAAGTTGACCAGGACGAATTCGTTTCAACTTGTGCAATGCATCTTCCCATTCCTTTATCCTCCTCTTGTCAAACAAAAAAGAACCAAATACCTCCAGAGCAAGCGGCAGTCTACCTGTGAGCGACACAATTTTCTCAGAGACGTTCATAAACTGTGGCGGGGGTTGCTCTCTTCCAAATGCATGATAACTGAAAAGTTGAAGCGACTCAGAAGAAGTCAACTCTTCTACCTCATAGAATTTATTTACAATTTTTTCAAGTAGAATTTCCTTATCTCTTGTGGTGATAATGATTCGACTGCCTTCGTAGAACCAATCTCTAGCACCAGCTAGAGCATCAAGTTGGCTTACATCATCAACATCATCTAGAACAAGAAGAATTGGCTCCTCATGAATAACCCCCTTGATTGAAATGATACCTCTACTAACATCATTTACGCTTGGCGTAGAATTCGGGGAAAGATCACCAATAAGTTTGTTCTGGAGAGATGTTAAACCATTATGCTGTTGCGAAATTTCTCTTACATTTGAAATAAAGCTATGCCGTTTGAAGTGAATGACAAGTTTATTGTAAAGAGCCTTGGCAAGGGTGGTCTTGCCAACCCCACCCATTCCATAAAAACCAACGGCTCGGACACCGTTAGCTTTAACATCTAACATTCCTATCAATTTTTCAAGACGAGAATTAAGTCCAACTGGATATTTAGCAACGCCCAATGGTATATTACTTAGTTTAGTCAAAACGTTCTTGACTAAATTTTGGATTAACCGTTCTTCTTCCCTGCAAAGAAGCATGATCACAGTAAATCAGAAAGGAGAATATACAAAAAACAAGAAAGCGAACCAAAACAGTTAAAACAAGAAATTTTTAAATCACAAAGAGATGCAGTCATGAATGAGATGAGATGTACCCTGTCTCAACATGAGATCAATAGTGTAACTACCATAAATATTGACCTTGCAAGTTTCATGAAAAGTAAGTAATTTTTGTCAATTACTAATATATGTGACAACTAAGATGAGACGTATCCTGCCCTGACATGAAAGTGATGTTGTAAGTAGCAAAAATATTAACCTTTATGTTTCATAGCATTTACACAAATTCTGAAAAAACAGGATTATCGCTGTAGATATTGGACAACCAACCCCCAGACAAGAGGCCATTCAGGATTATCGCTGTAGATTTTGTATTGTTAATACAAAATCTTACCCATTACCATTAATGTAAGGCATAGCCTCAATCGCATTAAATTTGGTATCTTTTTTTTATAATTTAATTAATTTCTGTTTTTTTAAGCTGGTCACACCATTCAAAGGGTTTGCCAATTAGTGGCCAGGTAACCAAGCAAGCTGAAAAAAAGAATGTTCATGTCCCTACCCAAAATCTCTGCTTAGCTTTAAAAAATTGGGGATGACTGGTAGAGAGGTAAACTTTTGTAGGGGTTCTTTTTTGAGTAACACAATAAATAAATGTATAAAGGTGATATCTAGGACACAAATATGAGGGAAACATAGAAAGTACTTGATGAAGGAGGAGAAGAAAACCAATCTTACGAGATTAAGATGGAGGTAGGGAAAATATACATTTCTGATGATAATCCTTTTCTGGCTTCTTGTTCTTTCATGCGGTAGTGCTATTTATAGACCACGAAACATGCTGGTTATTAACCAGCGGTTCCTTGTGCGTCTCGTCCCTAACCATGACCACATGGGTTCACTACACAAAATATCATTTTTACTGGCGGTGTTTATATGTGTGCTGCTTTTAATTTATTTGTACCGGTGTTTTTTTAGATACCGCCACTATTAAAATTATTACCGGCGGTATTTTATAAACCGCCGGAATTTTTATTTATTTTCGGCAGATTTTTTAAAAGCGCCGGAAATAATTAATTATTTCCGGCGGTATTTTTAATAGTGCCGGAAATATTTAATTATTTTCGGCAGTTATTCAAAATGTGTCGGTAATAATTTAATTATAATAATTTTATTTATTTTATTTTTCCTAAAAGTAGGTTTTGGGTCATATACACAGACGCTCCAATTTCTCTTCCTCCATTCTACACGTCTTGGATAGTCTTAAGAGCCTAAGAGGTCAAATCCTCTTATCGATCCATGCATTATGTTGTGTCTCCCCCTATTTGGAGCATTAAATGCTCTTTGTTCTTACTTGACCGTCGGTTGGCCAAGTCTGTCAAAGCATTAAATATGATTTTAAGGTTTGTTGTCACAATGTATATATTTCCATCATCTCGTTGATCGGGCCTCTCTAGGAATGGAGGCACTTCTTTACTTATCATCCACCAATCCAAGATCCTTCCAAGTTTCCCATAGTGAGGTCCCACATAGCTGAGAAGACCCTACCTTCGTTTCATGCCATGTTTGGACTTATGAAAATGTAGCCATTTAAAGGCAAACTCCTTGGGGCCCTATTGCCTCAGTGCACTGTGAGGCTCGAAGGAGCCTTGAAGGCTGAGCCTTCAAGTCCTAGCAACTTAGTGTGTTGCTAAGGTTTGTAATGCTCAAGGTCTGGGCTCTCAAGGCTTAGTAACCTGATGTGGTACCAGGGTTTGTGATGCTCGAGGGTTGGGTCCTCAAAACTTAATGACCTGGTGCGCTACCAGAGTTTGGGTCGCTCGTTAATGACCTGGTGTGATGCCAGGGTTTGGGTCACTCGAGGCTTAATGACCTGATGTGATACCAGGGTTTGGGGTGCTCGAGGATTGAGTCCTTAAAGTTTGGGGACCTGGTGCGATACCAGTTTGGGTCGCTCGAGGGTTGGGCCTTCGAGGCTTAATGACCTGGTGTGATGCCAGGGTTTGAGATGCTCGAGGGTTGGCCCTTAAGGCTTGACGACCTGGTGCGATGCTAGGGTTCTGGGTGCTTGAGGGTTAAGCCCTCGAGACTTGGTGGCCTGGTGCGATGCCAGGCCTTGGGGTGTTCGAGGGTTGAGCCCTCAAAGCTTAATGAAGTTTTTGACTTTTCAACTTGCCACGAAGTTTTAGTTCAGGGGTTATGTTGACTTTTCAACATGCCATGTTAGCTATTGGTGACTTTGAGCAAACCAACAAAGACAGCACTGGACTTTTTGAATGGGCACCCAGAAGAGTAAACATAGTGGGTATAAACAATATGAAGAAGCCATTAAAATACTTTTTAAAAGAACAACCTTAAAATTAAAAAATTCCCCAGTTGTAAGAAAACAAAAGCGAGGGGATTAGATGCAAATATTATATTAAAGTCACTCATAATTTATTTCAAATGCAATGCCAGATTCATTGCTTAGATAAAGCGTCAACTATAGAATAACCCTAACCTCCAAAACCTAGATATTTTGCTTTCCTCTCCTCTGCTGAGAACTTCAGTCGCTTATTAGGGCTAGTCTAGTACACCATGCTCCCACCATAACTTGATTGGAACCGTGATTTGGGGCCGGAGAGCATAGAAATGAACATAGAACACAAAGCCACAAACAAAATCACACAAATACATACACCTATACATGTATACATATATAAGTGTGTCTAATTGTGTATAATGCCAAGTTATGAGGAGAGAGTATATATACCAGCGCCTGGAATCCCAACCGGAGGTATCACCGGCTTTTTTCATGGCTTTCCTCCATCTCGCGACCTGTTCTTCTCCGAATCGCTGCTCTAAGTTGTCAAAAGCCGCTCCGAATGGTCCTTTTTGTCTCCTAACATCAGAGGGATCGACTTTGTAAAACACCGGAAGAATCAGCTTCCGGCACTCGGTGATCTTGGCGAGCTCTTCAAGGCACCACCTCGACCACGCGTAGTTCTCCGATATGATGGCGATCGAAGCGGCCGACTCGTCTATCGCCGTCAGGAGACTCGGAGCGATCTCGTCGCCGCGGCCGAGACCTTCCTCGTCGCGGAACGTTCGAACTCCGTTCCGTACGAGCTCCGTGTAGAGGCGGTCGGTGATGGTGTGGCGAGTGTCTTCGCCTCTGAAGCTGAGGAACACGTCCCACCGGAACCGGAACGACGGCGTTGAAGTCGACGGCGACGACGACCACGGGTCGTCGACGTCGGCCATTATGGCCGGAGTCACTACTACGTTGCCAGCGAAAAACGGCACGATATGACACTCAGTTAGACGACATTACGGAGAAAATGGATCGATGTCTCGCAAATTTGTGGCAATTTTTGCTTCTGACGGATTTTTATGGCCGAATAAAATGGAATCTTTTAATACCGACTGCTAACTCCTTTGAAAGAGCCTTCACCGTCACAGTACGTAGCTTGTTCTAAAAAGAAGGATACAATGAATGCACGAAAAAGAAGAATACAATTGTTATAAATATCTATGTTTGTGTGGGGTCCACTTGAAATGAATATATAGATTTTGAATTTATTTTGAGTGGCAGTGGAGCTTATTGCACAAGCTCTTGCAGCCCACGACATTGATTGCTATAAATAGGTGATGACAGTATATATTTGTGTAAGGAAAATAAAAGCGGCAGTTCATTCGCTCTCTTTCTCATGTTTACATATTCACTTTGTTTTATTCATTTATATTTCAATATCATATTCAAAAGATGTTATGAGTACGTGCTCAAACTATCTCCCCTTTTTTTTTATCTCAATTTTATATTTTTTTTTGTGGTATTAGTTTTGATATGTTGTTGGACTTATTTGCTTTACTGAAGAGAATTATATTTCTGATTCTAAATGATTAGAAAATTTTAATTATTGATTATTGTTTATGAATTAATTTGCCCCCTTAAATGATATATGTGCTCATACCATAGTCGGTTCTACCACCTCTTTTATTTAATAATTTACATAATCGGTTCTACCGCCTTTATTATTTAATGATTTACTAATTATGGTCGGTTCTACCGCCTTTATTATTTAATGATTTACTAATTATGGTCGGTTCTACCGCTTTTATTATTTAATGATTTATTAATTATGGTCGGTTATACCGTTTTTATTATTTAATGATCTACTAACTATAGTCGGTTTTAACGCCTTTATTACTTAATGATTTATGATCGATTTTACCGCATTTATTGTTTAATAATTTATTCACTATGGCTGGTTTTACCGCCTTTGTCGTTTAATTATACTAGAATTATAATAATTCATATTATGTTGTATAAAGCGAAAGCCGTGATTTTCCTTTGTCGCCATATTAGTGAGGAACTAAAAACTGAATGCCTCATTGAAAGAGATCCACTGAGTTTGTGAAAAAAATTGAAAGAAAGATACGACCATCTAAAGTATCGTGATCATCTCAAAAGTTCAGTATGCAAGAAATGCAACTGCAGTTGCAAGATTATGCAATTATTAGCGAATATAATTCGACCTTGTTTGCAATCAATTTTATTGAGATAATGTGAAGAAATAATTACTCATGAGTATTTATTGAAAGGAACATCATTCACTTATCATGCCGAGTGCGTAGATTTTTTAAATATTTGATGTGGAGGAAAATATTATTAAAGGGCATATATTGATAAAAGGATACTCTACTTTTCATGCCGAGAGCGTAAATTAATGAAATTTTTGTGTAAAGAAGATATATATTAAACAAGTGATACTCCACTAATCACGCTAAGTGTGTAGATTTATGAAATATTTAAAGTTGATATCATGCATGTTTATGACAGAACAAAATAAATAACTTTTATTGAGAAATTTTAAGTCCGAGGGATTGAAAACGATCCCTTAAGCGAATACTGCCTCATTTCGCGGTTATGGACATGGTTATGGGTATAGTCATGGTAGAATTAACTACCAACATCATGGGGATTATATTTCGAATTTCACACTGTATCCCTAAAGGTGGGACTAAAATAATATGAAACAAGCAAAGGGGGAGATATGCCTCAACCCCTATGGCACATGTTGCTTGTTATCAATGCAAAATTGATCAGTGTGTCGATGATAAATTTGATCAATGTGAAATATATCATTAGTGTAACATCGAAGAGAAAAAGGTTGCATAATATACTTCTGAGCATTTATCTGATTCTTACCGAATACTGCAAAGCATTTAACTGATCTTTACCAAGTCACAATCCAAGAAAATAAGACAACGATAGAAATGAATTTTATATGACGTTTGTGAATATTTCAGCTTTTACACCAACAGGTCAGTGGCCTAACGGTATTAGACTCTTTCCCAAAGGGAGGTCAATGGTTCAAGCCTCCATGGAGGCATGTGTGTGTGAGTACAAACTAGGAAAAAATATATATATATATATATATATTTCGATCAGCTTTTATGAGTTAAATTAATCTTTTAATTAGTAATATACACACATCTTATTTGTACTTCATTTTATCATCTCTGTTATTAAGCATGTTTTATTTTATATATCAAAGTTTGTTTTAAGTTATCAAAATATGAAGCTTGCATATTTAAGTAGGTAGGAACCTGAACTATAACTAAAGGTAAGAATATATATCTTGTGGACAGTAAGACCATCACACACAATTCTTTCATTATCGAAATTATTTTCCCCAACAAGATGAAGGTAATGTGGAATATATCTGTCCAATTTCCATTACCTAATATAAAAAATAATACTAGAAAAACTTTATTATCTTATGGGTATTGTTATTGGTGTCGATCAATAGCTAGTTGCACAAAAGTGATGTGATGTGAAATGTGGCCAAGTTTGAATTTATAGAATGCCACTATCACTACTAACTAAAATATAACAAGAGTGAGTAGGGACCGTCCCAAGGGAAAATAAACGTGTTTTGGAATCAATTGTTAGATTAGTAGGTTGAATGATCAAAAGAGGAGTTTGATTTTATTAAATTAATGGTTCAATTAAACAATGAAATTAATTGACAATCTAGAAATTAGAGAAAGATATATGAGAAAAAGGTCTTGGGGTTTAGAGTTCACCACTAAGTTTCACTTCACCAAATACTAGCACTTGTAAATTAATGGGGAAATTCAAGTTGCAAAATGTGTATGTGTGTGTGTCACTAATTAAAAACTAAGCATGGATGGCAAATAAGTATAGATTGTCTAGTCAATCTAGTGAATAGCACAATCTATCAAATGAGATCATAAACCATTCAATTAAACTACAATTAGTGCACACACAAAAATTTAGATAAATGTACTATTTGCACTCATGAGTATGGAATATCAAACAATAAGAATGGATTGTCCACCTAACTAAGAAATTAAAGCAATTACGCTACATCTAAGCTAGTGACATGAAAATTAAGCTAATTAAACTAAGGATGTGGCACAGTCCATCAAGAAATAAGTATGAACCATTAAATAAATCACAAGAGTAGTCAATTAAGCACTATGCCTTGACCATCACTAAATTTACAACATCAATACACATAGACATGCATTAATTTTATTAAATTTAGAGAAAAACACATGAACATTCATTCTAGCATACATAGACATATGGATAGAATTAAATAATCAATTGAAAGCATTAATTCATACAAATCAAGTTAAAATTACAAGATTTATATTTATTCAAGGTCAAAACATTTATTACAACAAAAATCCCCAAAAATGTACAAAAAACTAGGTCTAGGAAGCAAACTTAGGGGCTATCTCTAGCCCTAAGAAAAGGATTTAGCCACTCATTGTAGTGGTCAAGGAACCCTCAAGGGCTAGTTTGGAGGTTGGCATCATCATCTTCATCCTTACTTTTTTCCCAAAACCCTAGTTCTAGAGAGATAAACTATTCCTATAATTGGTTAGATATCTACTACAATAATAATGTTCAATTAATTCATTACAAGCCTCTTTGAGTAGGCACCAAGTCAGAAATACAGCCTATGATTGGAGGAAATTCGCAGCTAGTCAAGTTAGGTGAAGTTCGGTGCGCTCGGGAATTAGACAGCACACTGCTAGCAGTTAGTTCGATCGATCGAAAGAAACTTCAATTGATCGAAAACTTGCTTCGATCGATTGAAGCTAACTTGTCATGAAAATATCTTCTGGCTTTATCCAAATTGGTGAGCTGGCACCGCCTTGAATTTCGATCGATTATAGCCGACTTCGATCAATCGAGACTTCCTTCGATCGATCGAAGTTCCTCTGGTGTAGTTTTCTTGACTTCTTTCCAAGTTTGCTCCTTAGCTCCAAAATTGAGCTAACTGACTTTTATTAGCCTATTTGAACTTTATTGGCTTGAAATAAGCAAAAACATAAATAAGTACTAAGACATGAAAGTAAGATAGATGAATGGATTAAAATACCTTACCTTAGGTGCTAAAATGCGTCACATTCAAGCACTTATCAGTTATACCGCCAAAAGCATGTTTGCTTATTTTATACTCACAGTATTTCATTTGCTAAAATTCTTTTGTTTATAAAATAAGTTGAACCCCTAATATGAGATGTCTTTATAGCACGATGTGCTGATTATCATTTGAATAAGAGTGTTATCCCACCTTGAAGGGGAAAAAAGGTAAGATCAGAAATGCAAAATGATATTACTGGAATGCTTTGAAATTATCTATATGAGTAAAAAGTTCAAAGGAAAATATGAACAAGAAGATCAAAGGATCATTCATTTACAAATTATTGCAAATCAATTACTAGATGCATTCACTGACATAAAGAAAGTAATAATATCATATGTGACAACTAAAAAACAATATAACCATGAGTTGACATCCCGATGGGATAGTTTGTCAGCGTTATAAATGCATCTAAAGTATGCATGAAGCGTGGCAGACCAGTCGATACAAAAGATTTTGTTCCATGAAAGTGAAAAACACTAGAAAGAAGTGCATAATAAAACGGGCGCTCTTGATGAGGCCCAGTTAACTAATAATGATAAAGTAGCCCTTAATGACGCAGAGGCACTTAATGCGGTACATGCAAAAGAGCATGATGAAATGGGTCCTCCTGTAGAGACCCATTAATAAAATGAGGCACCTGCCAAAGAGCACGATGAATAATGAAAAGGGTAGTCCTGAACAGACCCAATTAGTTAACAGTGATAAATGTTGCCCTTGATAAAATATATGCCTTTTATATGGCAAAGGAACCTAACGAGGCCCAATGACCTGACGAGGTCAAGTTAGCTAATTATGATAATATTGCAAAGGTACCTGAAAATAATGAGATCTCAGTAAATTATGAAAAAAAATGGAACAGAAATGAAGTTGTCATGGACAGCATATTCTCATATACAATTGCTCTTAATAAAAATAATAAGGATCCGAAAACTCAAAATGTCGAAAAAAGTCGACGAAGATATGATTGGCCATCATGAAAAAGAGCAATACAGGAAAAGCTAACTGTATTAGCTAGACGAGAAGTCTTT